ATATTCTATAACAAATTTTTGAGGTATATAGTTTATAAATGAGAAAGATGAAACAGGAAAATTAAATGACTATGTGAAGTGGCAGTCCCAGTATTTGAGCCCACACTTTCTGACTCTGAATCCAGCCTCTTCCTGTAAATTGCATAGATCCAGAGTGTTCTACGAGTTCTATGTTCCACATTTTAGGAGTAGTTGAGAAACTTCATCTTATTCAAGGGAGGTTGACTATTATGGAAGATCTAGAAGCCAGTTAGAGCAGTTGAAGGAACTACTGTGTACAATTTGCTAGCCACTCCCTGATTTATAGGCTATTTTACAATATATTGATATTAATCCTCTTCTACCCAGTTCATTAAAATCTTTATAAGTGACAAATTTATTTTCTTTTGCAAATTTCAGGTGCGAAAAGTAGTTCTAGATACTATGAAGAATATTCATCCGATTTATAACATTAAAGTGAGTATCAATCATATATTATTATACCAGTGGTTGTCAAACTACTTTAGCTATGGAAACCTTTCTTGAAATTAAACGTTTTATGAAAGTCTAGTATACAAAACAGATAAAGCAGAGCTATTTTGGGTGAATTAGAGGTAGAATCTGGCCCACTGAACTCTACCCTAGTCCTGTCGTTACTTCCTTGAAAGCTTAGATCTCCATGGAGCAAAGTGTAAAAACTATTGAAGGGGATACTGTAACGTATTGTATAGTTCTGAAACGAATTAAGCTTTACAGAATTTGTTGTAGATGATATCAGTCCAGTTTTCTTAGATTATGAGTCCATGTGTTATATTTAAAGATACAATCTTTCAGAATTCTGCCTTTTTCTATTAAGTAAAATCAGGACTATCTCAGGTTGAACTTAACATTCAAATTGTAGCCCCTTTGAAAGAGTTCTGTTATATTTCCATGTGCACAAAGTTTGTGATTGTACTTGGAAATGTAACCATGGTATAGTGAGCTGTGTTATGATGGATATTTGTTGAGCAACTCACTTTAATTTGATGAAAAGTTAAAAGGTCACCATTGGATTAGGATGAAGTGATTTCGAGTTACATCGGAACATTACAGATAAAAAGAAAGTCAGTCGTGCATCTGATGCCTGGTTTGCGTTGTTTGATGTTCCAATGTTTGTAAAATTCAAATGGAGTGAGGAAAATGTGAAAATATTGTTTTCTGTCTAATCATGGAAAAGTTTATTCTACTTTTGTCTTTTCCTGTGATAATTCAGTGGCTACCAGCTAATTAGCAACCCTGTCTGCTATTAAGTTGAATTTTAAAGGTTTTAATGAAACCATGGTTGAAAAGCTGAGTTACCTTCATTTTAACCTTTTTATTTTAATCTACATTTCTTAATCTAGCTTTCTAATAGTTTTTGATGTTTGGTTAATTACACATGTTTGAGATCACATATCTTTTTGTTTAAAGAATAGGTTTAATTCCACTGAAGACATTAGGAACTGTTCATTTATCATTTATAGAAGCAATATTTATAATGTTTGACAAATGTGTGACTTCTGAAATTAAAAATTTTTACTTTTTTTATATGTTGCATGACTAAAGACCTTAATGATTAAAAGAGAGTTGGCAAAAGATTCCGAATTACGATCACAAAGTTGGGAAAGATTTTTGCCGCAGTTCAAACACAAAAATGTGAATAAACGCAAGGAACCAAAGAAAAAAACTGTTAAGAAAGAATATACACCATTCCCACCACCACAGCCAGAAAGTCAGGTTAGTACTAAAATGTTGGACTTTATATGAGAGAGAAACCGTTCTAATCTATTTTGTCAGAAACTATATTGAGAGTATTTTAGGTGGAGTGTGTGTGTATAGAGATAGAAGAATGGTAAGTGTAAATAGGTGTATTTTGAGCTGAGCACACAGGTGTGGGGAATAGGACCTTCATATTGTAAACAGCATCAAGGTGTGGTAGGTGTCAGTCATGTCTCTGTCGCTACTGTAAATGTCCCATGGATCCACGGGTAAAAAATTCAACAGTTTAACCCACAGTACTCTGCTTTAGCAACATTCTTATGATCATGTGCTCTATGACAATTCCAGTTCTGAAATCTTAAATTCTAATGTTCACCCTTTTTCTAAGATATAAATCCCTTCCATTTTGTCAACTATCTTCTACTTCATTTCCTTTCCCATCATGACCAAAATTTCCTTTTCTCTCTTGCCCATCACTTATTTTCTTTCGTGTTCCTTTTTCCTTCTATCACACCATCCCAGCAAAACTATAAAACTTGGATCAGTCTAAAAACTAGACTTCTTTCCCATAATGTGACTAACAAACTAAGCTAGAGAAAGCCCTATCTTCAGATTAAATCCACTAAAAATTCTTGTTTCCAGCCTCGGATGGGTCCTCAATATTATCTGGCAATTCTATGAGTCCTCTTAAGTACACTCGTACCTTTAGCAGATGTCATTGCATTTTACTTTACTCTGAAATATTTGAGACCATCAGACAAGAACTTCCTCAAAACTTCTTCTCTCACCTATAATTTTTCCTCCATCTGCATCAACCCTTTCTACCTACTTGTTCTTTGAATTCCATCTTCACCTATCTCCTGAGGACTCTTGCTTCATTATTCCTTCCCTTGGCTGTAACTTAAAGTCTTCCCTCTCTACTAATTCTTTCTGCTCAGC